CGGAAAGCACACTTATTAGACGTTAGAGATGCTGCTGAATGGCAAGGTTTAACTAGTTCACCTTATGGAATTGACTTTTCTCCAAGAAAAGGACGAATATTAAATTCAATATGGATCGAATGGTATAATTTTATGGAAAAAGATGAAAGTAATATTATTAAAGTAAAATCGAAGGAGAATATCCAAGATATTATGAGTGTTAAAAATATAAACTTAGATGATGAGATAATTATTTATTGTTTTAAAGGTGCAAGAGCATCAAATACATTAATGAGCTTAAGAGAAGCTGGTTATTATAACGTAAAAAACTATTTTGCTTCATGGAATGAATGGTCAAGAGATTTTGAATTACCTATTGATGACAAAATAATTGAAATATCAACATTTCAAGACTTTGGTCCTCCTACAAGACTTTAGATAAGAATGACATGCAGTACAGTTTTCCAAAATAAAAATCAAGTTTTCCCATTCAAACTTGCATACTGATGATGAGTATGTCTTATTCACTGATAAATCGCTTTTCTTGATTTTTGCAGATTTTATCCTCTGGTTCTACGTAAAAGGTTCATAGCACATCTTTTTTAAAGTTCTAACGTCTAAAACTTAAAATGTGGATAACTTTGAGTGCTTTATCGAATGACCGCAGTTACAGGGAAATCTATCTTTTTATGAAATTTTCTCAACAAATGGACAGGTGTGTCTTAAGCCGTTTGAGGTTTTTTCGACTTTTACAAAATGAATTTTCCAACATTTTTGAAATACTCTTCGTTTTCGAAAAATAAATGAAAAAATGTCGTAACGTGTAAAACCAAGTGAAGTAAAAATAAGAGACAAAAAAAGGGCAACAATATTGTCAGTCTCAATAACTGATCACCGCCGACAATTCTAACTTTTGTATGATAAGGATCAACAGCGCATTTAAATTGGTAAGTATTTTCCTTTAACATACAACATGGTAAATATCATGATGACCCACTTCATAAAAGTTATTATACATTTATCGTTTATTTTCTTGTTTTTTCCACGAAAAGTATGTTGAATTTTTTTGATGATAACAACTACTTATTCGTTCGAACGATTTGACTAAGGTGAGCAAATATTGTTAAAAAACGGTAAAAGAAAATAGAGTGAGATTACGTCATCAGTTCGTATTGTAGTCTAGTCAGACAAAAGATTCAAACAGAACGGGGTAAATATTTATTTCATGAGTAACGTCAGCAAGTTTTTTCTTCAAGGATACACACACATTATCCGAAAACCTAAGACTAAATTGATTCTAACCTGGTCTATTTTAAAGCGAGTTAAAGCGCATCATTACAGTCCTCACTGTAGACATACAAAACATTTTTCACGACACTTCTTGCAGTCATGGGAATATGAGAAATATCAGGCCATTCGAAAGTTGTTTGGATGCTTGGCACTTTGCTCGATGCTCAGTCTGTATCCGTACTCATATGAATATACATTACCTGTCAAAGAATCACTAGTCATTCGAGCTACTTCTCGTATCCTACTCAATGGAACAGATCGTTCTATACCTTTGTATGTGTATACAAATGGACTTAAGTCTAATTCTTGGGATAAAAAGTGGATACCACCGAAAAGATCTACTCTCATGCAGTAAATGTTGTATCCCTCTTAAAAAATGTCATTTATGTTAGGATATAACTTCTCTCTTTCTTTCGTTCTTTTCAATTCGAATTATAAAAAATAAAAAGCTTTTAGACATTTTCATGCGTTGTATGTTAAGGGGGACAGGACACCTTCCTGATTTTTTACATTCCTTTGTTATGTCTTTGATTTACCATAGCTTTCTCATCTTAAATGACTCATGACCGCAAGTTGCTCAGAAAAAATGAAATTGGACGAAGTGGATTTTATGCATACATTGTCTTCCCACGTATCTGAACTTGTATAACTTAGAATTTTGAAAGTTTTACTGTAGTCCAATTAGTCGAGTTCAGTCCAAGAGAAGTGTTTATAAGGCTAACGAATTGTCAAGCATTAGAAACAGTTAATCTTGTATAAAACTTCACGCAGGACTTCACGCAGTTCGGGAGTCCCATGAAGTCCAGAAATCCTGAAGTCCGCCTTTTCTCCCTCGAGGAAAATTCTAAATCATACGTGCTGTTTATCAAAAGAATATTGAAACGTTTTAAAACAGAAAAAAGTTTTTGAACATTCGTACCATTATCGATTGCCTTTCGTTCTTTTCTTTTTGTACCTGTCTCAAAATACAATCATACTCAGGCATGACACAGCACAGAGAAAATTTAGACATTAGATTGATATAGATACGATCTACATACATGGGTATTGATAGAAAATTTTAATGCATTATCATGCCTAAAACCCGCATTGAGTCTCAAATTGGAGCACATTATAATACATTACTAAGCGTTAATGCGACTACTATACACTTTAATGCCACATAATGACTTAGTCTCTAAAATGCCTTATCATCAGTTATATATAAAACCAAAGAAACACTTTAAAGAATTTAGACATTACATTGATATAGATACGATCTACATACATGGGTGTTGATAGCTGCGCGAAA